TTTCATGATGGGTATATTGGGCTTCGTAGATTTGTACCCCAGAAAACTATAAAAACTGTAACTAATAGTTAGCATCCGCTTATTTCCCGAGATAAAGGTAGCGCCCTGTTTGGTCAAAATTCAGTCCTTTGGTGGTGAAACTGGAGTAAACTCTCCAGGACGCAGGCCTAGGAAATGGTATATCGAGGCCGTGCACTGTCCATGCTACATGCCCCCCTATTCTTCAGCCGTACCGACAAGATCCAAAGGAATATAAGGCATTACATTTGGGGAACGGGTTGGCTGCAGGACTTGCCGGAAAGTTGTCAGCGTTGACATCCAACCGCCTTCCGGGCGCCACTTCGGATTTTCTGTCTGGATTTACCTCCATGGCCTTCTCCGTGTTTGGATATGACCGCAATCCAGCGGAGGTTTAAAATCAAGGTTTCCCTTCCTCTAAATGAACTGTTTTTTGGACTGTCGAGTTTCATCTACCCGAGGTGCTAGTTTTCCGCCTTCGTCCATTCTCCGAGTTAGAGATTATTTGAGACGCATGTCACTGAAGCATTTTATACACAGTGGGAGCTTGTCCCCACTATCAATCCCGGCTATGACAAAGTAAAAAGAAAAAGAAGAGCCACTTAAATAATGAAAGAAATCGTTGTTTTTATTGTCTAAGAACTTCAAAATTATAAAACATGAAAAAATGTTTTGTGGTGCCAGAGAGAAGCGCAAGTAAAGGTTAGATAAAAAATATGCATTTTTATTTCTTTTCCGCAAAAAGTCGAGATATCTTCCCAAAAGAATTGTTTTCAACAGCCTCATTAAACACAGGAAGAGAAAGATAAATGCGCAGAGAAAATAAACACGTTTAAATGCCAACGTCACATAACAACCGTGATGCAAAAAAGGAAATAAATCATTGAAAATTTTTCTTTGCTTTGAACTTAATAACGTTATTAGTAGTAGCAGTTTTAAAATAGAAAATTGAAAGATAGAAAATTTTTCTTCTTAGTCCTCTTTTAGTTAATGCTTAGAAAATTAACTTAACGGGATCATAGATAAGGAAGACGGTATGATGGGGTTTTATCACTACCATTTTATATGATTTTTAAATTACTATAATTTATCCGCTATGTAAACCAGTACTAACTGCCGGGTCATCAGCGACTAAACGGGTTCCCCGATTATATTTCCAACACAATTACATACCCACAAACATACCATATTAAAACATGACCAAATTTTATTATCTACCCAATAACAGATAATATTTACAAACATGCCAAAAAGATTCCGCAATAAAACATACACCATTTAAATCAAAATCTCTATTGGCTAGAAATTAACATCACCATGTGAAATATTTGACCACTCAGAGAAAACTAAAACCCTAATTTCTCTCGGGCCTACTTTCGGGAAATATTTGTTATAAAAATCCCCAGATTCCAACTTCCAGAGAGCAGAAATATAGCTGTCTTCGGGTCGTTCGGAAACAAGAGAAGATTTGGCTACATAACAACCCGGTGCGGACTGAAAAAAAATATGTGTCGACAACTTCAAACGAAACAGATACAACAACAGCATGACCGGCCATCGGCGACTTCAAATGAATCATCTCCAACAACAAAAACAAAAACGGTCAGTGAATTTTTGCTAACGATAAAAGTCTTCTTTTTTTTTTCACTTTGAATTATTATTTCAATTATTTCCAAATTTATTTACAAGTTATAAAAATTGTTAAAAATTACGTCGCAAAAATCATGTAAATGTATTTTCGTAGAGTGTTCTAGTTCCACGCGCCATGCTTCTTCCGGATATCTCAGTATCAGTTATTTCCCTTTAGCAACTCAACTCTACAAGTTTTTGTTCTCCTACAGTATGTAGCCAGGTACTGATCTCATAACTCTTTGGGTCAAGTCACTGGATTACTTCAACCAACGCTTTTATCCACTGGACCATTCTACCCCCGTGGACTAAATAAAGGCATCGGTTCGAAATTCCAATTACTTGAAGAAGGCCGGGGCGTACAACGGCTGAAACGTCGTGAATATGGCAACAAAGGTGAGGATAAAACAATCCAAACATTGTAAATAACATAAATAACTGAATAAATATCAGATTCCTAATTCTTTTTCAACGAAACAATTGAATTAAATTTCTAAAGTAACAATAACAAAATTAATATAATTTACGAATAATTTTTTTGAAAAACATTAACCCTAACCACACCGTAGGAAATTTAATTCAATTTTTTGCTGACTTACGGCCATATCATGTTCAAAATACAGGTTATCGTTCAATTACCGAAGTTAAGCAGCATCGAGCCTGGTCAGTATGGTTGACCGATTGAGAATAATACCGAGTGCTATAAGTGCGGGTATGCGTATGGTGTAATAGATAGCGGCTTAGAATAAGAAATCGGAGATCCAAGTTCCAGTCCCAGTAGGGGTCGTTACATTCACTTACACACAAATACCCTTTGGAAAGATATGAATCCAGCTCTTCTCCCCCATCATCTATGTTAAATAGTAAGACATTTATTATAAGACATTTGTTGGTTAATACGACGTGAAAAAACAAATCAATCTGTATTTGTTTGTTTGGTTTGATTTTTTGTCTTTTTTAACGAAAGAATGAAATTAAGTTTCCTTTAGGTACCTCCAAAGATTCGTTGAAAAATGAGTATAAATGATTTTTTAAAATGGCCAAAAAACTTAATAAAAACAATGTTTTATCGTCAAAATCTTTGTTATTATTAAAAGGAAAGCTCAAAGGTTTTTTTCATGAGAAAATTATTTTTTTTAATCCTTTTTAGAACCTTCGAAATTTTGGTTAAAAATCTTGTTTCTCTGGTGTCAACGTTATACCATAAATTAGTATGGGAAATTTTAGCATTTTTTTACGGTGCAAAACAGACTAATTTGGAAATTCTTGCAAAAACCAGATAATTGTCGGATAATAATGAAACTTTCAAGACTTATTCACAAATGAATTAAATTATTTCTTAAATATTTCAGTTTAGAAAATATTTGTAAGAATACTTTTTAGATCTGTTATCCACCATTTAATTAATTATTTAGTTTCGGGGAATCCTTTTTTATAATGTTTAACGTTTATATTAGTTATAAGGACAAGTCCCCGGAGAATTTAAATCATGAAATATTTTTCGTCGACCAGGACTCCCAGTTATAGAAAATCTGCTTTGAATCGTAAAATAAAAAATGCAATAAGGCATTATTTAATTAGAAAAGCTTTTAATTGCTTTTATGTATAAAATATATTACGCGCACTATTATCTTTAAAAAAAATCGATGAATAATGAATTATTACAAGAACTGTTTTCATTTTTTTAAATTTAATTAGAATAATTTATAAACTTAAAAAATTTTAAAATTATGTATTAATTTATAGCAGTCAAGTGATATAATTATTAAATTAAGTCTGTTTACTAACCATAAATGGACAAGCGCACTACAATTCAACGACCTCACAATATTTTAAAAAGAATTTTGAATTTATTTTATATGTGTATAAACGTGTCGATTTTTGTAAATACGGTTGTTCAAACGTGACATTATCAGGAAATAAGAGCGGTAACTATAGTAAAGTTAAAATGTATTGGTAATTTCTAACATTTCGTGTCTTCCTAAGTTAGACTATAAAACCAAAGTACTTAAAATTCAATAAAATATTAGATTGCTTAGAATATTCTCTTAACTTAAGATTACACATACTGAGTAGTTAAAAGAATTATGTAAAAAAGCGTTCACGATATATTCGTCAAGTAATTAGAATTTCCTTAGAAAAAGTTTCCAAACATTGCGTGTTAAAATATGCTTTTTTTCTGTGATATTTTAAAGTAAAAGTAATTAAACTTTGAATCGACTAATTAATTAAACTTTAAATCAGCTAATATTCCTCAAATAAAGCTTCAGAAAAGTACATTTTATTTTTGAAAGAATTTTTTAATAAAGAGAATGACGTTATGTTGACAAATTTTAACGTTTTTATACTGATAAAATAACTCCAATCAATCAATTTAATTTCAGTTTAAAATACAACAAAGTATTTTGCATATTAAAATTATTAAATTTAAATTAAAACTAAAATAAAAGCTTCAAGAACGATTTATCATTTCCAAATATGCTTTCTATATTTCTGAGATGTGGTATTGTAATTATTTACATTTTATTGTTCGGACTGTTGCCTTCATCTTTATCTTCCAATCACCTGAAGAAGGCCGGAGCGTACAACAGCCGAAAGATCGTGAATATGGCAATAAAGATACGGACAACAGTCCGAACAATGTAAATAATGTAAATTTTAAATATGCATTTTAAACCTTAGGCATCGTTTGTCTTTGTTTGGATATACCTAATAAGTAGGCATACAAATACATTGATAAGCAGGCGATATGAGGTTAAATAAAATTTACAAATTCTAAATAAAGGTCATTTTTTTTTATAATGGAAAAAAAATTGTACTCATAATATAGGGCGAGGTAAAGTAAAGTTTACAAATCATTTTTTTTTTTTAATCACATTCAATTTTTATAGAAAAACCTCAATTCAGAATATGAGGCACAGTAAAATAATCTAAGGGAGGTAATTCAGTATTTCGTATGCGAAAAACGATATTGATGCTAAAATGGAAGATACTCACTTTTAAGCGTTATGCAAAATAAATGGAGAAAAAAGTTTTCAAGGGAGATAACTTTCGATCCCTTGTTTTGATCACGTGGATGATTATTTCCGGTTGAAAGCAGCATGGCCGACATCCAGGAGAATATTCGCACGAGGGTCATTTTAAAGGAATATGGAGTGGAAAATACTCACAGTACTGATTTTCCAGGTTCATACACAGGATATGATGATTCTTTAGATCTGAGAAAATTTCAGAAAAACTTTCGGATTGATATCATTCGTTTATTTGATGACTATCTCGAATTCGACATGGTCGGAATTGACGCCTCTATAGTTAACGCGTTTCGGCGAATTCTACTTTCCGAGGTCCCAACAATGGCCATTGAGAAAGTTTATGTTAACAACAACACATCCATCATTCAGGACGAGGTCTTGGCTCACAGACTTGGTCTCATCCCAATCTTCGCTGACCCTCGCTTATTTGAATATGTTAGCGAAGGAGACGAAGAGGGCACTCCGAGTGATACTATTGTCTTTGATTTAAAAGTAAAATGCACAAAAAATCCGACAGCTGACACAACAGATCCAGACGATCTTTACAAGAATCACAAGATTTACAGTCGCCACCTCAAATGGATCCCTATTGGGAATCAATCGGATTTGTTTAAAGAAGGCGATATTCGTCCTGTCGATGATGATATTCTTATTGCAAAGCTCCGACCCGGTCAAGAACTTGACTTAAGAATGCATTGTGTTAAGGGTGAGTTTTTTTGGTTTTACTTAGCACCATACCCCCCAAAATTTACTTTCATTAATGTTTATACTACAGAAGAAAAAATGCTTGCTTTACTTATATTTTTTTTTAATTTATGAATACAATCTTCTTCGCTCGACCTCTTTTCAATCTACATAAAAAAAAAAACTAGCTAGGTTGATTTTTTTTTTTATATATAAGGTACCCTAAAAAATATCTAGAATCGGGGCCATAATTCGCATGTACTATGAAAGTAATTTTGTTAATACACTTATGAACTAAAAACTAAAAAAAATAGATTTTTATTCTTTTTTTTAAGTGACTACAGTTGCTCGAAAGTTTGTAGGGACGTGTGTTGCTATTTCACTGAAAAAAAACTGGTGATAAAATTATTGGCGGTCCAGATAAAATAGTTGAGATTGGTGAAACATTGATTGTATGTAAATAAAAAGAAAATAGTTCCTAAAACAATAGAGAATATAGCTGGCTTCATTTAAAAAGCGTTTTCTTAAAGAAAAAGGAAGCAACAGGTACGCACGAATGGGAGTGAATATTTATTTCGAAAAAATATTTGGAAATAAAAAAAAAGAATGAAAGTAAGTAAACGATGTTTTTAAATCGTGAATTATGGCCCCGATTCTAAATTTTTACCTTTTTTATGATTTTCAGTAATTGGCAGTATCAGTCACTTATTAACCAATTAGTTGATACTTTTAAATTGAAGTTACAAAACACTTTTTCTCTTGACTGTCCTTTCAATTTCTGATAAATACAAGCGTTTCTATAAACCAAGGGAGGTAACTTTGTGTATACTTTGAAGACAGCAGCATAAAAAATACTTCTATCTTGAATGTGAGCAAACAATTTTTGTTTATTAAGATCGGGGTTTCAAACGAATTCAACTTTTCAAACACTGATTTACCTCTTTTATATACCACGTAAACTTTTTTTTTTTTAACTATATTCATATTCTGAACCCTTTCTTAACATTTGGAAATGAGACACGGCGAAATAATTTATTTACAATAAAGTAAAGTGGGTAAGGGAATAACAAACAAAATGAAAAATTCCTGCATATTTACCTGCGCGTCCACATCGCAACAGAATGCGACACAAGGTCGAGGTTTAATGTGGGGAGCCATTCAAAAATTGCTCAAGTCCCCACGAAACTTTCCCCTTTGGAGACGCTTCAGGCGCCAGCTCTATCCTGAATGAAAGTACTGCCTGGAGATGGCTCCACCCTCTTTGTGTGATTTGTTGAAGTAATAATAATTTCAAAATTCCCCAGCTGTGTCACTAGCATTTCGTTCCAAGAAGACACTTCTTCAGACAAACGAAATTTAATTAGAAGTTTCTTCTTTGAACTAAACGTGTCATGCAGTTTGTTTTTTAAATTTTCATTTTTTCAAAAAATCCAGTCTAATGGATATTGATTTATGGATCCCAACTAAAGTTTCTTAGTAAAAAAAAAAAAAAGAAATTGTTTTGTTACTTAAAAAATAGGTACCTCCACTACTTCGATATACGTTTAGGTTCCTCCATGAGATCGCTAAAAAAGACGCCAAACTTCCTCTAAATGTTCATGTTATTAAGAGGAAAGATCAAAGTATTTTTTGGGATATTTTTTTTTTACATTTTTTAATCGTTCCTAGCACGTCCGAAATTTTCGTTAAAAATCGTTTTTTTTGTTTTGTTTTTTTTTTTTTTTTTTTTTTTTTTTTTTTGAGTCAGCAAAATTGACAGATAATCAATCATGGCATTCATTTTTCCCATTTTATAAAAAAAAATGAAAATCTCAGTTTGAAATTCTTTTAAAAATAAATTATCATTTTTTCAAAATTTATCTTAAGAAAATCAGAAATTATGTTTAAAATATTTTGAACCAAGCTTAACTTAGCTTCTGCACTGAAAAGATGTAGTTTGAAAATAAAACAAAGCAAGTCATAACTTTTCGCGTCACTTGACAGGTGTTGAATGACGTATTGACAGATTACATGAGGATAATTTGTTCTACTGAAGGTGAAAAGTGAAATTATTTATATTTAAGTGAACGAATTATTTACCTCATTTTTAAGGAAAATTTCAGTTTTCTAATTTTTTTTTTTCATTTTTTTTGTACTTAGCTTTCACCTTTACGTTTATGATGCTTTATGGGAAATATATTATAAAGAAATTAAAATAAAACTGTTAAGAGTGAGATTAAATTTCATTTCATAAGAAAGGTATCTAATTAATTTATAGGTACCTTTCTTATGAAATTTTATCAGAAGTGTACATAAAATACTATAATGTTATGTACTTTTATTACATTTTACTGTGTTATTCGTATTTTCATTCATTTTATTATTAAAAAAAAATATAGAAAAATGTCATAACTGAGATTAATATAAAAAATAAGATCATATGAATTTTATAAGATGATACTGATACTCGTAGGTACCCTTCTCAGTTGAAATTGAAAAATCAAATTAACTTTTCCACACGTGTTTTGCAAAAGTAAAGGCCTTAACAGCGGAGAACAATGCTTAACTCAAATAATGCAACTTAATTCTGGTTGGTCTTCCATACTTTATAATTAGAGCCCGATTTATAAAAATAATATAATAAAATTAAAAACAAAAAAAACATGATTTGCATTCCTCAAAGCCTTGTGCTTTTAACTATTGTAATCACTAAACTGGATTTGATCGAATTTCTAGCATTTTCATAAAATTAGTTATGGTGAAGGGTAATAAATATAAAAGGAAAATATTTCTGCCATGACTTTAATAAAAAAAAAACATATTCGTAATAATTTTGATCATCTGTGAATATTTTCTGAAAATTTCAGTAACATCTGACAATTATTTTTATTTTTGCAAGATTTTTCAAATTAATGTGTGTCATACAAAAAAAAAACCTGCTAAAAATTGTATGTTATTTTACTAGTTCCAGTGACACAAAGAGAAACAAGGTTTTTTTAATCAAAATTTAGAATGTTCTAAAAAGAAGGAAAAATTTCAAAAAACAATTAAAAAAAATTTTGGTCTTTCCTCTTAATAATAACATAAGCATTTAGATGATGAAATTTTGTTTTTGTCAAGTTTGGCATCTTTTTCGTCATGCTATGCTCTTTTTTTTTTTTTTTTTTTTTTTTTTTTTAGCAATCTCATGGAGGCACCTACGTAAGCTTTAAAAATGAAGAAGCTTTCATTTTGGATTTAGTTGAAAGCTAAAGGATTTAAAATTTACTCTTTCCAGTAAGCAAAATAGTCTGTGGTGTATTTCAAACTAAATTATATTGACCAGAATCAATATTTTAAAAAATTTTTTTTTTCATTAAAATCTGTAAAAATCTGCCATATTTGACATATTTGTAAACAAAAGTTAATTCTCGGTTTTGAAAATCTTGCAAAAATAAAATATGTATTTCTGAAACATTATTTGAGGAAAATTAACAAATTTAAAGTTAAATTCTGATTTGAAACAAATATTACTTACAGTATAAAATGTTGTATACAAACATTTATTAACTACGGTGTTTTGTTTTTCTTGTGTGTTAATCAATTCATTGACAGCCGAGTGTGTTTATAGTTCAGTATGGTGGAGCAGACAAAGTTTATAAGGGAGTATAACCCTTAAAACACATGACCTTTTAATGATAGAGTTATTGGTTTGTACATCCATCACATTGAAAATGAATTTTAAAAGATTTAAAAACTTCATAAATTATTCAATTTAAAATTGTAAAAAATGAAAACAAATCTTGTAAAAATTCCTAATTTTTTTTATTCAGACAATGAGCAATTAAAAGCTTCTCAAATTAAAATGTCTCATTTTTATTGCATTTATTTTTCGATTCAGAATAGATTTTCATTAAGACATTTTTGCAAGAAAAAGAATTCAGTAGTTTGAATTCTTCAAAGAAATCTGCTTTTTACTAATAGTCACTAAAAATTATCATGTTGAATATTTAAAGTTTTCATAGAATTAAGTAAGGTACTGAAACAGAAGTAAAAAAAAAAAAAAGAAATTAACTAAGATTTTCTAATAAAAAAATTTTTTAAATAATTTCATTCATTTGTAAATAAGTCCTGAAAATTTCATTAAAATCCGACAATTATTTGATTTTTGCAAGAATTTCCATATTAATGTGTCTGTCAACAAAAAAGAGGCTAAAATTTGCTTTGCTAAATTAAGTTAGTACAACTGCTGACATAAAAACAAGTTTTTTTTTTTTTTTAAATCAAAATTTTGCATGTTCTAAAAAGGAGTAAAAAAAAAAAAAAAATAGGTAATCAAAAAATACTTTGATCCTTCATCTTAATAATAACAAAGATTTTGATGATAAAACTATGTTTCAATATCTGTCTATATTTCTGAGATGAAGTATTATGTACAGTATTTACATTATTCAGACTATTGTCCTCACCTTTGTTGCCATATTTATCACAACATTTCAGCCATATTACGCTCCGGCCTTCTTCAGGTTGTTGGAATGTTTATATTACAGTATTTTTTTCTTTTTATTATCACCCAAAAAAACAATAAATCACTTAAGAAACCTGATTTTTTTTTTTTTTTTATAAAATTAATAAATTCAATACTAAAACAGTATTTACTTTACAGTGTAAAGTAAGTATAGTTTCTTAATTGAATTATGATCAAATGAAAGCTTACACTTAATCACGTTTCAATTAAAAAACTATTTTTTTGACAATTATGACAGTGTCTTAAGTTGGAAGAACAAAACTTGTTTTGGGGTTTTTGTTTTTTTAAATTGACAAACTAAATGTTTTTTTTGTTTGTTTTTCTGTTTTGTTTTTTTTTGTTTGTTTGTTTTTCTGTTTTGTTTTTTTTTGTTTTTTTAAATTACATACAAAAAATCAAACAAACCAAGAAAGTATCAGGTAAGGCGACATTGATGTTTATTTCATGCCACCCACACATTCTACCGCTCAATAATAAACGGGAAGAATAAATGAAAGAAAGAAAAGAACTAATTAAAAAGAAAAGCATTTAAAATA